GTGTGGTGTGGAGAAGGGTATCGGGGGGGGGTCGGGTGCGCCGGGCTGGAGAGAGAGAGAGAAACTGAGGGTTTTTAAAAATCTAATTTTCCAAAATTACCTTTTTGCCCTTGAGTGTATTTTGACCGTACTTTCTTCATTATAATTCCGATTCGAGTCCACTACGTGTCTACGGACTCGTTTCGTCGCGCTCTACGCAACGGTATAATTGAAATCCTCAATTTCCTTCTTGGTCAAAAAGTCAACCTTTAACCTAATAAAAATTCTAAGGGCATTATAGTCTTTTCTTCTAATAAATTAATAATTAAATAATAATTTTTGGTTTGGGTTATTACAACTTGTGTACCATATCTCTAATAGAGTGTGAGACCCATTTTATTGGTGGACTCCACTTTTATTAGAGATATGGTACACAAGTTGGTATCTAAAGTTAGTCTCCCTAGCACGACCCTTTACTTTATATATACTAACCCTTTGACACATGCTCTTGCATGTGCCAATTGGTTTTATTTTATTTTAAGAATTAAGAAAAAATAACATGGGTAGTTATGTTCCATAAAAGTATGACCTATTATATGATTTATTTTTAATATTAAAAAATGTTAATTTACCATATTATCCTCATTTAATTAATAATTTCAAGATATATATATATATATATATATAGCTTCCATTGAGGGACACCCTTGTAGGGCCCACTCCGCATTGTATTTCATTAATCCAAACTGTCTATTTTGTAAATATTTATTCAAAGATAATTTCTATAAAAAAATCACTTGAATCCGATATCATTTGACCATTCAATTAAATTATTAAAATTTAAGTACTTTATCGAAGCACCATCTTTATTGATTTTGTTGGTCTCAATTAGATGCTTTAATGATTTTAAATTTGTCTGATTTTTTGTGAAGATGATTTATGAATGCTTGAAAAATAGACAATTTGGATCGTTGATAAAAAAAATCATAAAGTACCCTAAAGGGTCTCGTTTAAATAAAAATTATTTGAGAAATCCCTCAACGGAAGGGGAATCACACTCATATGACACAGCACAAAACTAGCTAATGAGTGATCAACAATATTACATTCTTTGAGTTTGAGGTTAAATCCTTTCCCACCCAGAGAAAATAGATATTCGCATTTGTTAAAATATGAAAAAATGTCCTGAATTTTTCAAGGGCCGTCCAACAAAATTGAGTGAAAGGTGAAACAAAAAACAAGCGGGACGAGGAAGGCAGAGGTAAGCAAAGTGTACACATAAAGGCAGGCGGATGAAAGAAAGCAAACAGCAGCTCATTGAAACCCGTCATCCATATTATCAGTTATTTATCATATCTGATATCTATAAAGAAAGGTATAAAGATTCCTTCTCTTCTTTAATTGGAGCAAAGATTCCTCTCTCAAGCAAACAATCCAAGAAAGAAAGAAGAAGGATTAGGTGCAGAGCTGGTATTGGGGGATTGAGATTTATACAGCAACCCTCCATTTCCCCGTATTTGCTGAGACTAGAGGCCTCTGCGCCCCCCCCAAAATGGACGACGATGTTGTACAGCGAGTCTTCCAAGAAGGAGGCCGCGACTTTTTCCAACAGCAACCCTCAACTTCCTCTTCCTCTTCCTCTATTCTCCAGTCACTTCCTCTCCATGTGGTATCGACACACACTAGTACACATACTTTTTTGGTTTATGGGTTTATTGGGTTATTTGTATTTTGCATTGCAGGTCAAGATTTTCCCGTTTTGTTGCTTGTTTAGTTGAATTGTTAGAGTGAATATTGGGTTCTCTTGGAATTGGGAGTTTTGTGTTGGAGCTGTAATTTGTTTGTCTACTTGTGTTGATTAGCTAAGATTGTATGCATGTTTAGATTCTCGTTTGTTGATCCTTTTACGGTGCAGGACATAAAATTATGGAACTGACCAAATTGGAATTGAATGTTTTTCTTTCATCCGTGCTCTTCCCATCATGACTTTAAGTCTCTAACAATGCTCTCTGAACTTATATGAGATACCTAATTACTGCTCATGTTGAAATGGTGCAGTCTTTTGATCACGGGTATTATTTGCTAGTAAAATCTATCCAAGAACTTAGAGAGAAAAAAGAGGGCATTGTAACAGTTGGCATTGGCGGTCCAAGTGGTTCTGGTAAATCAAGGTATATATAGTTTTCTGTAGGCTATAAGCATTCCTTACTCTTGTCTGTTGCATTGTAAATTTTTATTGTAACTTTAATGTTTCCTGAAGCTTAGTTTTTATTGTAATTTTAATGTTTCCTGAAGCTTAGCAGAAAAGGTGGCATCTGTTATTGGTTGTACTGTTGTATCAATGGAGAACTATCGTGATGGATTTGATGAAGGGAATGATCTGGGTTCAATAGATTTTGATATGCTGGTCAGAAATCTTGAGGTTTGCATCTACTTATTTCTTGTCATGCTCATTATTCATATAAGTTGATTGTATTGATTCATGATTCATGCCTGAATAGCCATATAAACCTTCAAGCGTTCAAATCAATTTTTATATAAAGAAGCAGAGTGTCCTAGTATATATGATGTTCCGAAGTCAAATCCTGGCTGATTTGTTATATTCAAACCCATGTTTTCTGAGTGATTATGTCATTACATTTTATGTTGAAAATAGGATTTGACAAAGGGTGAAGATACATTGATTCCAGTATTTGACTATCAACAAAAGAAACGTGTTGGTTCAAAAACAATAAAGAGTGCTTCATCTGGGGTGGTAAGAATGTTTAGTATTCAATTTTTATGGTTTACCTCAAATGCCAGGTTCTTATTCTCTCCTTGTTTTTAGGTAATAGTTGATGGCACCTATGCTTTGCATGCAAAATTGCGCTCTTTGCTAGATATTCGAGTTGCAGTGGTAATCTTCTAAGTCCTATTTTGTTGGCCAAGACTTTGTAGAATATCAGTTAACAGAAAGTTGACATAACATTTTGTATGTATTTTTGGTATATCAGGTTGGTGGTGTTCATTTTAGCCTTCTTTCCAAAGTTCAATATGATATCGGAGATTCTTGTTCACTGGATTACCTTATTGACAGCATTTTCCCATTGTTTAGGAAGCACATTGAACCAGACCTTCATCATGCACAGGTTGGTATTTGACAGCTGTTAGCCCTTGAAATTTTATTGCCGATTCTCAATGTTTTGCATTTATTTTGCAGATTAGGATTAACAACAGCTTTGTCTCATCATTTAGGGAGGCAATCTACAAGCTGAAATGCAGGAGTGAGGTCTGTATGCATTGCTAGTTTATTTTCAAGTGATGTTGGGCATATATTTATACATAGGAAATGGGCCTTCCTCATTTATGTTGCTCTTGTAGCTATATGATTTGAAAAAATGATTTTTGTGCTAGCCCTAGTTTTTTTCTTTTGTTTTGGTGGGGAACAAACTGGCCCTAGCTTTTTAATATAAAGATCTAGTTGAATTGAGTGAATTTTCATGATGATACAGCTTATCAAGTCTTTTAACTGAACTTATGTACTTTGTAATGTGTATTTCTATGAACATTAGTTTCTTTGATGGCAACAGTGAGGCTTACGTGTTACTTCAAGTTGTGCTAAGAACTGTATTTGTCAATTGCAATGTTATTTTTTTCTTTGTAGCTTGTGGCTTTTACCGACTGGTGCTCCATCTTATTTCTTGAAATTTTTTGTTTCGGATAGGGTTTTTACTAATTTGACTAAAATTTCAAAGTTTTGTTACAGGCAGCAGAAGAACATTTTGCTTATGCCTTTCAAGGAAATGAAGCTCAAATAGATAAGTGAGTCTGGTTGGAAATTCGATTATCTATTGGCTTTTTTTTATAATAATATGGAACTAAAGAAAGTGAATTGCTTTCCTTCCTAAACTTTTTAGTTCTATAGCAACTAAAAGTTCTACATAATTTATTTTCTCTCAGTTTCATTGAGATGTATCTTAGGCCTCCTTCAGCAAGTGAAGAAGCACGGATAAATGATTGGATCAAGGTGCGCCAATCAGGTATAAGGTATTATCTGTCACTTGGGGACCAGAGGATTGTCGACAAAAATTTCATTATCAGGCCAAAAGCTGAATTTGAGGTAAGAAGTATTTTCATAGGTTTAGACCATAGTATAGACATTACAATAAATAAAGCCACTGATCATTTGGATATACATTGGGTCGGTTCTTCATCTCTCTGCGTTCTGTTTTACGTGTATTCTACATGCTTGACTAATGGTTCTTATGAAGCCTTCTGGTCAGCGATGAGCAAATAGAAGGGTCATTGGTTGGAATTTTTACAGGAGATGCCTATTTCTATGTTTAATTTTTGTAAAGGACTACTCTTTATGTAATACTACTGTAGAGTTTCTAGATGTTCAATAACTCTTACCTGTTTGCTACTGTTTAACATTGGAAGCAGGTTGGAAGGATGACTTTAGGTGGGTTACTGGCTTTGGGATATGCTGTGGTTGTTAGTTACAAACGAGCATCTAAATCGGTTGATAATGGAAATGTTTCATTGTCACTTGAAACCATTGATACCCTTGGTGAGACATTCATGGTGCTGAGGGGCACAAATAGAAAAGTATGAACTTTGTATTTTTACTAGAGTGGTTATAGCATTTGTTTTAGGATATATGCCAATGTTTTAAAATGAGGTCTGATAGTGATACATACTAGTGGTCTTGTGTAGACAGTTGGAACTGAAGCATTGAAGATGGGTATTAATGAGCCTTGGATCACTAAATCATATCTGGAATTGATTCTTGAGAGAAAAGGTGGCAAGCTAGGCCTGATATTAGTTTTTCCATCTTTATGCATTTATTAAAATACCAAGTTCTTTCCTTAAGCTTTGAACATGTTCTCTCTCTTTGTTTGTACGTTATGTGTATAATGTAGGTCATGGTTTTTCATGATGCAGGTGTACCTCGCCTCAATACACCACCCCTTTTGCCAAATACATCTCTGACCTCTAGTCAGGACAGAATGATTGCTGCACCAAGACCAATTCGCGTTCCTCCTAACCTTGTTACTCGGCTTGAGGATCTATCTCAGCCATGGACTAGATCTCCAACAAAATCTAAGATGGAACCTATAGTAGCAACATGGCATTTCATCTCATCGGATCCTCCTCAAGCTGATAGCTCAACCATAGGTAAGTTACTTTGACTTGGAGATGTATTTCTTCACTTGACAGTCAATTTTGTAAGTAGCTATTTCTTGGATGTATTGTTACATTTCTCTGTGTTTCGACTTCTCTCATAAAGCAACCACAGATCCTTCCTCTTTCAGGGACACCGTGAAACTTGCTCCAATGCCTGATTCGTATGACTTGGATAGAGGATTGCTTCTTGCTGTGCAAGCAATACAGGTGAGGAGTGAAGTTCATACAGAATTGTTTGAGAAACTCCCATAATGAAAACTTCATGTATAAGAAATTCATTAGAAGAATATATTTACAAAGTTTATATGAAAGAAATATTTAAATTATGTATTAATATGTTTTACTTGGATGGGAACTTCATGTATTGTTGTTTACTTTTTCAGGCACTGTTGGAGAATAAAGGTTTTCCAGTCATAGTTGGAATTGGTAATACAGGCTTTATTTAACTTTCTCCCACTCTCGTGTTTTGAGCATTTGCTTGTCAGGGATGGCCATTGTTCTTGTTATGCTATACAAGTCTGAAAAGAGTAGAATACAGTCCTAATTTTTTTTTTTATAATTGTTATTTCTTATTGCCTTTTAGCATCTGAAATTAATTGAGCTTGAGGTATGTTCTTATGTTGTTCCTGATTGTTCTCGTAGGAGGTCCAAGTGGTTCTGGAAAAACTAGTTTGGCTCATAAAATGGCAAACATAGTTGGTTGTGAAGTTGTTTCCCTTGAAAGCTATTATAAATCTGAACAAGTAAAGGATTTCAAATATGACGACTTCAGCTCGCTGGATCTATCTTTGCTTTCAAAAGTAAGGTTTGATGATTGGCTTATTTTGACTAGTTTGGTATTCTTCTTTGAGTTGTAACTTTGGGCCATATGGGGTGGCCAATCAGATGATTGCTATAGTTATGCTAGACAATGAAATGCAACCCCAAGGAAAAAACAGAAAAGATGCCTCTTTCCATGTTAGTTTCTCTCATATGCCCCATTTTCGATAGGCCTTCAGGTTGTTGAAGCCTTGAAGGCCTTTTTCTAATTTGTTTTCCCAGTTGCCAACAACTGTGCCAATTCGTTGGCTTGCTATTGTGAAATATCATTTTAGTTTTGCTGAATCACATCTTAAATGACAAAATATGATTGCTATAATGAAGATACAATTCCATTGATTTAGTGTCTGCCGTTGTTGTTGTAGTACTTAGTGTTTTTACATTACCATGTGCAGAACATTGATGACATAAGGAATGGTCAAAGGACAAAAGTACCCATATTTGATTTGGAAACTGGTGTTCAGAGTGGCTTCAAGGAACTTGAAGTTTCTGAGGACTGTGGAGTGGTCAGTTATCAGACAGATCTACTAGTGCTTTCACAATTTGGCTTGCTCCTTTTGGAATAATATTGTATTGTTCCCTGCCTTTGACAAAACAAACCGATTAGTTTATGCTTTTTTATATTTTTTTTATATACAAGCAGATTATTTTTGAAGGAGTTTATGCTTTGCATCCAGATATCCGAAAATCACTTGACTTGTGGATTGCTGTTGTAAGTATAACCCCTGTTGCACCTTTAAAGCTTTAATATCCATGAATCTGTGTTTCTAAGTCAGTTTCAGGTGTTTCTGAGAAAGACTGGTCAGGAAGCGTTCATTCTTGTTTTTTGGTTGTCAGGTTGGAGGTGTTCATTCACATCTCATTTCTAGAGTTCAAAGGGACAAAAGTAGAGTGGGGTGTTTTATGTCCCAGAATGAGATCATGATGACAGTGTTTCCAATGTTCCAGCAGTTCATTGAACCTCATCTTGTTCACGCACACGTTAGTGGACTTTAACCTTCTTAAGTTCAATTGTTGCCATGTTTTAAAAATAAATAAATAAAGTCCATGTAGGTGGTTTCTAGGTTTTGGCAATTTTTTAAGTATGAGCAAGTTTGCAAGTCGTTTTTTTCCTGATAGAGCTAGTACTTTTATAAGAAATGGATGAACTGATTTTCATGATATGTCCAAGAAACAGAAAAAGGGATTTGTTAAGATTTAAAGAAGTGTTTGAGTTTAAACAATTTTTAAATCCATCCCTTTCTAACAGAGCTGAATACTTTTTAAGATGCAATAGAACTGATTTAGTGATATATTCCAAGAAAACAAAATGTATAATTTATTAAGATTTTTCCAAGGACGACATGCTGATGGGCCCACAATGTCAAATCATTAGACCACTTTTTTGCACAATGGATTGCCCATATTCTTCTGCATGTTTGCCTGTGAACATGCACATTCCAATTTGGATTTTGGAACCAATCTATGGCACTTCCATTATGAAACTTATTGTTTCTTTTGTTACAATGGAGGCAATCGAACCCTTGATCTAGACTAATCCGTTATGAAACTTATTTTACTGCTGAAATTTGGTTGCAACTTTCGAAGGCTATTTTTGGTGCTTCAATTTCTTCTTATCTCAATGCAGCTCAAAATTCGAAATGACTTTGATCCCGTGCTTTCCCCTGAGAGTTCATTGTTTGTATTGAAGAGTAACAAGCAAGTAAGGGTATCATCTTGCCTGTGTCTTGAACTCATAAAATATGATTTTCACCTTACATGCTTACACTATTTCCATTTGGTCATAGGTGGCTTATCAAGATATTTTGAAAATACTGGATCCTGCAAAGTTCTGCAGCTCTGTCCAGAATTTCATTGATATATACTTGAAGCTTCCTGGACTTCCTACTAATGGGCAGTTAACAGAGGGTGACTGCATTCGGGTCAGAATATGTGAGGGCAGATTTGCGTTGCTGATACGGGAGGTTTGTAATGTGACCTGGTTATAATTTGCTTTTTATTATTAATAAATACAGTGCTCGTTCTCTCTAACCACAGTGTACATTCCATTCTTTGTTTATGTTTCCTGAATTTGTTTGCTTAGCCTATAAGAGAAGGAAACTTCATCATCCAACCTAAAGTGGATTTTGATATTAGCATTAGTACAGTTGCTGGGCTTCTTAACCTTGGGTAAGCAGTAAACTACATATTTGAATTATAAAATTCATGGGTGGACACATTTTCTTCATGTTGGATGAAGAATTATGTTGTATTGTTGTTGTTCTTATTATTATTAGAATTTTTTTTATCATTACTTTCGTATCTTTTGGTGATGTCAGGTATCAAGCCGTAGCTTATATTGAAGCGTCTGCTTTCATCTATCAAGATGGAAAGGTCAGATCAAATTCTATGAGATTTATTTATTTCTTGAACATGTATTCTATTTGGAAAGTACTTCAAATTGTGGTAGCAATATTAGCTTAAGTTTTCATGCCTCTTTAGATTTTGATTGAGGTTGATCATCTACAAGATGCCCCAAACCCTTACCTGCAAATCAAGGGGGTTGATAAAGATGCTGTAGCAGCTGCAGGATCAATGCTTAAATTGGATGGTTCATATACTACAAAGGTTTTTCCTTTAATTATTCTATGCTGTTTCCCATTTTTAATCCGAAGCCAAAATCACTTTCTTCTTTCTGGTTTGTTTGTTTGTTTCTTTTGATTCATTTTCATCTGAGTTGGTAGTTGATTTGTTTATTTGTTTTAGAGCTATCTTCAAATAGTGCTGGAAAGATTGCCAGCATCGGGAAGAGGCTCAGGTGGAATTCACACTCAGCAAGCTGCAAGGTTGCAGGAACTTGTAGAATTTATTCAATCTCAGGTATTTTTCTATCAAGTTAATGGATATGACATATCACATATGTTTGCTGGTCTCGAAGTCTTGCAATTTTTGCATCTAAAACTAAAGAATTTTTTCAGTGCATGCTGCATTTCTAACATTGATTGAAAATATAATGATGTAATAAACAGGGCAGCAGTTCAGCTTCTGAATCGTCACCAATTAGAGAAGTTTCTCCGGTTGAAGGGGTTATCGAAGACATGCAGTCAAGGATTAGAAGACTTGAGCGGTGGCATACAATCAATACGGTGCTTACGATACCTTTCCCCCCAAAGAGTTGTACTGGACTGAAGCTGTATAGAATAGTTGTGCTCATCCTTTGGTGTTTGTGTGTTTTGTGTGGGCAGGTACTATGGACATTTTTGATGTCCGCACTTGTTGGTTATTCGCTCTACCAAAGGAAGCGTCAGTGATGCCGTCCCGGTTGTTTTCTGTTTACCATTGCAAGAAAGAGACTTTCTTGTTGCATTGATCATATCATCATTTTTACTGCGGCTGTCTCATCTCCTTCCGCAGGGTCAAGTCAATTGCTGAATATACAGAGTCAAAACAGTAACTTCCTAACTACAGTCACAGTTGCGTTTTATGTGACTCACAAAAATGATACGCACAACTTGAGAGCCATTTATTGTATCAAAGTGATCCTTCTCTTACACTATGGTGAGAAGAAAGAAAATGACAAGTACATACAGGCTGAGACTCAGAGAAGAATACACTCACTCCTCCTCCATTTATTTTTTTTCTTTTTTTGTTAGAAGTTATAATTTACTCAATGAAAGATTATTGATGAGTTGTTTGCTGCTCTTTATCTGCCCCCCATTCCATTAAAATATAAGAATATACGTTTTGCTTTGAACCCCCACAGCCTCACCTGATGCGACTCGTTCTCAGTAGCCCCAGTTAAAATTAGAGTAATCGACAAATTATGGTTAATTTCCCCGTCAAAAAAAGAAGCTTAGGCTTGGGTCAACCATTTAAAAGATTCATAAATTACAATATTTGCTTTCGTTCTAAAATAAGAATGAAAAAAAAAAGGAAACAATATTTGCTTTGGTTTTAAAATAGAGATTTTCTATTTAAACCCCGCACTTCTCTTTGTTCACTTCAATACTTAAATCATTAAGCTGTAAGTTTTATTATTGTGTAAAAAGACAAAAAAAGTCATCCAACTTAATACTTAACCCTTCCTAGTACATCTATACACACATCTCACCACTCTTCATATTAAGTTTTAGAATGACATATGCAAGAAGCACAATTTGCCCTACAAGCGTTTGTCCTTCTGGGATGCCAATGTAACCACTATTAGGCTTCTAAGGTCTGCTGCCTGGAAGGGCTTGGGATTGGAAAGAACTTGGCCGGGGAAGCTATTAATACTTATGGCTGAGATTTGTTGACGCTCATCAAGACATTGCCCCCACATTACCTTTATTTGTTTATGAGTTGGGACATCTAGGATGGAGATAAATTTTTCAGCAGGTTTTTCAATTGCTATTTGATATTTTTTTTGGGCACTCCCTTCGACAGTATTTGATTTATATATGTTTCTCTGTTTAGACCTCCATAACAAACTACAATTTCCCATATGATATAATCACATGAAAAAAAAAAAAAAAAAAAAAACAGCTTGTGAAAACAACAAAATCTCATGTATACTACAAATATTGTTTAATGATTTAAGTATTGGGGTAAACAAAGAAAATTGTGGGGTTTAAATAGAAAATCTCTTTTATTTCTTATTTTTTTTCAGCTTGGGGTGTATTTAAGGGTAGTTTGGGAAGATAGTGGGATTTTCTTAGAAATTGTGAAATTTTAAATTAAAAGTTGGGGTGAACTAAGAGAAGTGTGGGTTTAAATAGAAAATCTCTTAAAATAAGGAGGGTGTATTCAATTTAGATTTTAAATGATTTTAAAAGAATTATAAAGTTGATAAAGTTTAATTGAATTTAATTGAGTTTTACTTAATTCTACAAACTCCATTTTGACTGAATTCATGTATAGATTTTAATTAAGTTTGTTAGAGTTTTATTATTGATTTTAATGGAGTTTATAGCACTCAAAAAATAAAGAGTTTAGGGGTGATGATGGTGGTGGTGATGCCGATGGGGGTGGCGATGGTGGTTTGTGAGTGATGGTGGGGGAGGTAGTGGCGATGGCAGTGGGAGTGAGGTGGCGGAGGTGATAGTGGAGGCGATGGCGATGATGTTGGTGATGGCTATAGTGATGGTGATGATGGTGGGGCTGATAGTTGGGTGATAGTGGTGGTGGTGGTGGTGGTAGTGCAGGCGATGGCGGTGATGGTGCTGACGGTGACGGTGATGGTGGTGGTGCTGGGGGTGGCAACGATGGCGGTGACTGTGGTGGCAATAGCATTGATGGCGGTGACTGTGGTGGCGACGATGGCAATGACTGTGGTGGGGGCGGGTGACGACGACTAAGATACTGTTGTGGTGGTAGCAGCGGCAGCAACGACATTGTTGATAGCCATGATAAGATGGTGGTAATAGAAGTGATTAAATCATATCTTGAGAATAGAAATAATATCTATCAAAATGGGGAAGCAAAAGTTTTTCATCATCTAAAATTAGTCTATAATCAAACTAAATTCACCTCCTTTTGTATTTCCTTTAAAAAAAAACAATGAGGTTTTTAATACATCCACACTTTTATGAAGTCTTTTAAAGTCGTGATTGAATACAACCACCACTAAACCCCTCAACCCATCTCATCTTCCCTTCATATGATTTAGCTACCCCTAAACCCAAAACTAAAATCTTCCAAATCCAATAAACCGCCAAATTATGAATCAATCAAAATATGACAAAAGAAAATACGAAATTGCTTGCTCTTAGTCTTACTCCCGATTTCAAAACTCAAAGCTTGCCTCTTTGATTTTTGATTGGTGTGGTTGGTTTGTTACTAGTACTAATGTGCTGCAGAAGAAGATATTCTGAGAAGGATGTGGCAGTCAACTTTTAAGGGTGGCGGTGAGCATACACCTTTGGTTAATGTGGTGAACAAAAATGCTCTCATTTCATAGAAATATAAAGTAAAATCCTGTAATTGTATTATATTAAAATCATAAGTAAAATCCTAAGTGAATAAAATCATAAGTAAAATAATATAATTACAAATCCGGTTGAAATTCATTACATTAAAATCATGTAATTACAACCTATTAAAATTTCAATTGAATACACCCCCCTAAATTTGAACAACTTTTACAAAATCGTGATTGAATACACCTGAACTTTTTAACTTATTTGAGAATGAAAGTCATAGACAAATTCCTTGGACGAGGTTAATAAAGATTATTCACTTTCTATTTTTTGGTTAACTTAAAAATGATTTACCTATTTTGATTTTCTGCGTTTGAAATTAAACGGACTGAAAACAATGAAAAAGTATACGGCTTGTTGTAAATTGTAATAAACTAGGATCGATCTATTTCGACTGTCTCTACACCCGCCATCACTCAACGCTCGCACAGTCAGAGGAGAGATCTGAAATCCCGAATGACAATGGAGCCTCCCAGCAACTACCAGAAGTACGGCGTCCCTTTCTACGTCGCCGCTTGGGCTCCCGACGTCTGTAAATCCCAACCACGCGACCAAGACGATGACGACGACGATCAAAGCAAAGCTCAGACTGAGACTGAATCAGCCCAATCCCATCCCAACCAAAACCACGTCGTTTTGGCCGGCGGTGGTGGCGAGGGTCGCAGCGGCGTCCCAAACGCCATCCTTGTCGCCCAATTCGATCCCGCCTCCGTTTCTCTCTCTCATCAGCCCGTAATACTCCAACCCCGATCCCATCCTTCTTAATTTTTACAGATTATTACCTGATTTGCCTGCGTTGTAATTGTAATCGGTGTCATGTTTGGAATTTGGTGTTTGATTATCAGGTGGCTAAGCTGGACACTGGCTCGGATTTGCCTTATAGAATGGCGGTTCACCCCGGTGGCGACGGTCTCATTTGCTCTTTTCCTAATAGTTGCAGGTCTTTTTCATTCAAACTTTTCCATTTCTTTATCTTAGACAATACCTTTATCTATCAATTCCCTTGAATCTGAGAAAACTGAAACCCAACCAGAATTACATGAAAAAATGAAAGGCTGCACATTTTGATTTTAGGTTCATTCGCAGTAGGATGCTCTTATATTATATTCACGTACATATGCATATATTAATTGTAGATTTTCTTGTGCAGATGGTTTGAATGGGACGAAGAAAGCGGCGAAGATACTAAACTGGGTTTGAAGCAGTCGGACAGAGTGCTCGACCAGTTGGTAGATGTTGGACAACAGTTGGCCTTGGCATTTAACAAAGAAGGTTCCGTTCTTGCTGCTGGAGGCGAGGTACAGACCGTCCCTTCACCTTTTCTTTTTGGATTCAAATACATTTGTTATACATTATGTATCACTATATGTTACAGTTTTATATTATAGATTGTTTTTAGACATGACATCAATGTCGGATGCAAAATTTTCTTTTCTCCAGAAGTAGTAGCACACTGTATAATAATCCTCTCATTTGGTGCAGTACAGGATGGCAAATTAAGGGTTTTCAAGTGGCCTAGCATGGAAATTATTCTCAATGAAGCTCAAGCTCATACTACAGTGAAGCAATTAGATTTCAGGTTTGCAAGAGTTGCGGCATTTAAAAAAAAATCTATCGACCTCTTGTATTTGTAATGTTGTTGCTGATGGTCTGGGCCTGTTGTCTTGCAGTCCTGATGGGAAATTTCTTGTCTCCTTGGGAAGTAGTGGCCCTGGTAGGGTGTGGGACATAACTTCGTCTACTGTTGCAGCTTCTCTACCACCAGAAAAGGTGAGTAACTGCTGAAAATTCTTCTATAAATAAAATTATTATGATTTCAAATTTATGCGGATTCAAATGATCCTTGACTTTGTAGATTGACATACCCCTTTCAAGGAGATTTTGTTGATTTTTACTGGTACATACATACAATGGTTTGTGTACTTAATTGTATGCTTATTGAACACGTTAACAAAAAAAAAAAAAAAAAAGTAGAACAAACTATTGACACCGATATCCCTGTACTTTTGTGAATCATTTAACCTACTTTTCTGGTTTTACCGCCTGGTCACGTGGGTTTCTAACTAATGAGAATAATTATAAATTATAATACATGCAGGACGAGGTTTTTTGTGCATGCAGATTTTCTTTGATTAGTGATGGGAATTACATTCTATATATTGCAGGTAAATATTCTGTGTGGAAAAAGCAATTCATCTGTTTCTTAGAGAACTGCTCTCTTTCTACTTACTTTTTCCATGAGTTAACCGTTTCGACCTCTGTATTACATAATACAGATAAATCTGGAAGCATTGTGACATGGAACACAACCACTTGGAAGAGGATTGGATCAAAGACTATTGCACGTGACATTATTTGTGCCTTTGATGTTTCAGCTGATGGAAAGCTCCTTGCTTGGTAATATTATCTTGGATCAATACTATTAACAGTTTTTTAGATGCTTTTCACACTACACAATGTGTCAAATGACTGCATATGGTGTCGTATTGTTTTTGGGTAACAACATATGGCGTCATTTGAAATCACCATTTTTAACACTATTTACATCGAATTGCAATCTAGCATGAAGCAATTGCTTTCACAGCTTTCCATCCTTTGGTAAAAATATCTCCTGTGTGTCTTGAAAAGGAAAAAATTAAACTAACACGTCTTATCATGAAAACAAAGTGGGACTACTCAAGGAGATCTTGTGATAGTAAATTCAACCAGAATGCGGATTCAAAAAGTGGTTAAGAAAGCACACC